CAACTCTTTTAATTGTAAATTTGGTCTGCAAAAAAGTGAAAGAAAAATAATTAATCATTATATGCATACAGACTCACAATAATTTATTTATATTTGTGCAAATGCACAGGTCGAATACTAGTTGGCATAACTTCATAAAAAAATGAAATGTGAAAAAAAGATATTTGAAAACTAACTACCAAAGTACCAATGAAAACACAGTGTTCTTACTGTTGAGAGAAAAAATCCAACACACGCACATAATAGGAGTCTGAAATTTGATTGTCAAATAACCGCATCTACAGGTTAGGCGAAAGCCAATTCCTAATAACATTGTCAATGTCATAACAAAATATCTTTCAGTGCCCCAATGTAATGGTAGCAATCAAAGATTCCATATCAATTACTTTTGAACCCTATTAAATTATTTCTCAATAAAGTAAAGTATGAATATATTAAGAGTCACTAGTGGTTAATATTAACATCCATTTTTTCTTAATTTTTATTTTTTGGCATATATTTCTGCTGCATATGTTTTCCCTTTGTTTTGAATTGTTTTACACGCAATATCTATTTAACATAGTAGGGTACGCGTTCCTGTTTGGACTTAATAGATAGTTGATAGATTCGATTAGCTGATTGAATTAGTATGTGATTGTAGTAATTGCTTATGGAAATGTTTGAATGGTGAGTTAGGAGAATGGATGATCTAGCATCATTTTCCTCCGGTAATGGTGTGGCTATGTGTAATCAACTAAGGCCTTCAAATTATGTTATTAAATAGCGAATTAAAGCAATTAAAAAACACGAAGAAACAAATAAGAAAGGTGAAAAAAAATTGAGTAGTCATCAAAGGCCAATAGGATGAGGACAAGTGGATTCTTTGAGAGAGGAAAGTGGATTTCATGTGTGAAGAAAAGAGTTTAATGCACCAAACCCCCCTGTATTATACGAAATCTGCACGTTTCCCTCCTGTATTTTAAAAATTGCGTCAGACCCCCTTCTATTAAGGTTTTGTATGCGCGAAACACCCAAAATCGTCTAAATTTTGGGTGTTTCGCGCATACAAAACCTTAATAGAAGGGGGTCTGACGCAATTTTTAAAATACAGGGGGGAAACGCGCAGATTTCGTATAATACAAGGGGGTCGTGTATATTTTACCCGTGAAGAAAATAATCATGATGGTCTCGTTTAGTTTGCTGGATAGGATGGAATATGGTGGCTCGTTTACTAAATAGGATTGAGATAAGGATACTGATAACGTGACATGAGTTGGTGCACGCGTGTATTTTTATTGGCGAATAAAAAAATCCGGCCATTGGTAGTGTGATACATTTACTCTTGGTCTCAAATGACCTTATGTCCAAAAAAATATTATTTAAGTTAAACAATTTTATTTAATTTAAAATAATATTATTTAATTTAAGAATAATAATTCATTTAAATAATTTTATTTACTTTAAAATAATATTATTTAATATAATTTTTTTCATTAAATTTTAAATAATATTATTTAATAAAATATTAATTTAAATGATTTTATTTAATTTAAAAATTTTTATGTAATATAAAATAATTTTATTTTATTTAAAATAAATATTATTTAATTTCTAAAATATTAATTTAAATTATTTTATTTAAATTAAAAAATATTATTTAATCTAAATACTTTTTTTAATTCAAACATTATTTAATTTAAAAATATTAGTTAAAATAATTTTATTTAATTTAAAAACTATTTATTTAATCTAAAAAATTTATTTATTTTAAAATAATATTATTTAATTTAAAAAATATTTAACCTATATAGTTTTATTTATTTAGAATTATATTACTTAATTTAAAAAATAATATTTATTTTTGTACAAATATTTTAAATATTTGAAAAATATTATTTAATTTATAATAATTCTATTTAATTTAAAATATTGTTATTTAATGTAAAAATAATAATTTAAAATAAAATAATATCATTTAATACAAAATAATTTTTTTTAATTTAAAAATATTATTTAAAAATTAGATTGTTTAATTTTTATTATAAAAAATGTAATAATTTATTTTCTTTGTATGTACAATATAGATGTCAAATCGAAACTCATCATGTGATTATTAATTTGATATATAATATATAAAAAACTTATAATAAATTTGAAACTTTTTAATCTTTTAAATATATTTATAAATAATAGAGGGTATATTTGTCTTACATTGAAATTAGAATTTTCTATCACTATTAGTAAATGCTTGATTAGTTTCAGGATAATATGTATCATGTTATGTAAACATGAGACAAAAGCGGATATGTAAAGTTGATGGGATAAAACTGTCTTATCCCATCAAGGTAAGTAAACGAGGACTATATAAATTAAATAAGCTAAATTATATTGGAGATGATTGGAGCATTTGGTAATTTTATTGTTAATTAATTTGATGGAATTCTACCAATTGTGCATATTTTTATGTATATTCTGTTGTAATTTAGCTTATCTCATACATAGAGAAAAGAGAGAAATCAAGAGGACGAGAACATGAGAGACGAGAAGAGAGAAACCGTCAATCGTCAGTTATCTTTATTAATTCACTTGTACCCTATATATAAGGGAATACATTGTATATGACTAATAATTTAATGGCTCTTGGCCCATACCTACAAAGTCTATATCTGGGTAATGTCCACAATAATAATTAATCACAACACTCCCCTTGGACATTACCGCATCATGTCTATGCCTCGTTAAAAACCTTGCTGCAAAACCCAGTAGAAAAAAATAGTCGAGGAAAAGAGTACATGACATATGCAAATTTATTCGTTACACTTGCTTCCTCATTAAAAACCTTACTAAGTAAAACCCAATGGGAAAAACTTAGCTATGGGAAAAAGAGTATAACACCGAACTCGATCTTCGGGACTCAATCTTCGAGATTTATTTATTGCTCCCCATGAAGGGAAAGCCTTTCTAGTTACATTCATAATTGTATGTTGCTTCCCCTCAAGGTAAGAGTTTCTAACATAAAATCGTCATTTGTTGCTATTCCGGAGTTAATATAGATTCAAAAATATCATCAAATGTATTTTCATAATTATTTGTGTAACACAAACTAAGTTTTTCTTTCAAGATAAATATGGGAAAATTTCAGTAACCAATGCTAAAGAGTTAATACCATTTGAGAAGTATATAACCAATCGAGGACCCAGTACTTCGAGAATCAATTACACAGTTGATGTCCTTATCCACCAATATGATATATCAAGTCCATAGATAACTCAACATACATGAAAGCATAATGGGATATTCTCAATATTTATCAAGATATCTCCTTAAGAAGATTAATAGTAAATCTTGCTACCAAATTCATCGCAAATGCAGTATCAGTTCGGATGCAGTTTGCATGATAAAAGTTTTAGCACAATTGCGCTTAGTAAATAAACTTCATGTCATTTGTGGACTTCAAGTCCATTGGAACTTCATGTCCTATAATATCAACATTTGTTTCTTTAGATCTTTATAAATCTGTCAAATTCCAAATATTTGACACTCATTGTTTACATCTCTAAAAAGAGATTCAAGTGGATTGGTTTGGTAAAAAATATTTCTTTTAGGAGATGTTCAATCTACAAACCAATTATAAATTCCATCTATAAACTTGAGCTAACTTATTTAATCTTTTACATAGTGTCCACCACACAATCTATTTGACTGAGATGATCATTTTGTATATTGTCATTATACACAAGGTTCTATCTTAAATTTCTTACTTTACTTCTTGAGAAAGAATTTAATTAGTTGTACCACATCTTACTAGCAACTTTAAATAATTAAACGATTTATTATATGATTATCTTTAATCTTGGGTACTCGAGTCCATCCAAGACTTTCACATATGATTTAATAGTCATGGTAATGTTACTGCCATAAATATTAACTTGCGGAATAATTGATAGTAAGAGAATTTATCTAAATAAATTTTTTAGGTTCTTGCATAAATCCATGAGCATAATCTCGCTATATTTACATCACACTACCATATCACATGTTTCATATAAATATTCATTATCCTTCTTGGATATGGTATCCTTCTGGGATATATCGTATAGCGAGTGGAAGCTCTGCCTCTACTTTTCTTTCTATCCCAATCAATCTAAGCGCTTCTAGCAGTTTCATTCTTTTGATCCGGATAATTATTTGAGATAGTAAAGAAATCACATAGGCAAATATGTGGTAGACAACTGAAAATGAATTGACTTAGGCCAAATAAATTTGGAATAAAACCATGCACCGGGGGGTGAGGTTCATGGCAAGTCCTGGTACCATTCCACCATAAGCCCTCCCCGGTGCATGGTCATGGCCCACCAAGGGTTCGAACCCCCCCTCTCCCTCCTCCCAGCGGGGAAGTTTGACGATTGCGACCGTCAACAATAATTCTTATGAAATTATGATACTAGTCAACAGGTCCAATCCTTAAGGGATAACCAAATCAAGGTCGGTATTCAAATTAACTAGTGATACTTTTAATTATATAATCCTTCAGGGAAACTCAAATCTTTAAGCATAAAATTCAACAGGATATTTGCTCTGTAATTCATGACATAATTAGAAAATAACTATACAAGTTGTTTACCATTCATTTGGTTCATTAGTCAATTAGACTAAAGTTCAAGATATTCAAATTGATTTTGGCTCAATAAATTTGGATCACATCCATACTCAATGCATAAAACAACGAAACAAAATATGCAACTATCATTTCCAAACTAAATTCATGTCATAATTTTAGATATTGATAGCTTCTCCATATATATCCCAAACAACATACACAAGCCATGCTTGAATAATCTCAAAATAGCAAAAAATTCTCTCGTAGAAGAGCTCTTTCTCTCGCTGGGGAGTCTTCTTCTCTCGTCGGAGGGATCCTTCTTTCATAGGAGAGCTCGATTATCTTTCTTATAGATCTTCACTTGTCGCAGTGGGACCATCGATTTCAGCCTGACAAATCAAATTTAGGGTTGCGTTTGGCTATGGCTACAATGGAAGGCTCGAATTCAAGTAACACAACGGAGGAAGTGGAACAACGATTGAGGGCTTTTTCTCTTTCAACATTCGAAAACGAGATAATAGATATCAGAGACGACGATGTTAAAGCAAGTACTGAAGAATGTCAAAAAACCCTCTTCGGGAAAATAGTGGACGACAAGCGCGCTAACTTAGTGGGCATTAGAAAAGATAGGGGACAAATTTGGAGAATTAAAAGCTTGCTTGATGTAAGGGAACTGGGAACTTACTTCTTTCAATTCATTTTTGAAAATCAAGATGATTTAAGGAAAGTGACAGGAGGTACCAATTGGATATTTGAGAATCAATACCTGATTCTCAAAAAACGGAGGGAGGTTTTGAAAAGTTCTGATAAGTGCTTTAACGAGATCAGCTTTTGAGTCCAAGTTCACCATGTGCCACTGAACTGGCTCACATCTGAGATTGGGCTCAAGATAGACAGAGTCTTGAAATCTGTAACCAACGTTTTAGTCTGATAGGTCGAAAAATGTGCCAGTATTATATATTTAATAGTGTATTTTTATACACTTAATTTATTTGCACGTTTGTATTTTTTTGACTTATTTATTATTTGGATAGATTCATGTACTTTGATATTTCATTATCTATTTTCAGCCATTTGAAGAATATTCGGAGATGTCAACTGACGGGACCCGTAGCATCGGATAGTCGGCCCTAAAAGAAGAATTTAGGCCCAAAATAAAGTGGCAATTATTTGGTCCCAAAGAAACAAACACTTGAGAAAACTCACTTGGAACAAAAAGAAAAAAACTCACGCACGCATTTGGGGAGAATTATTTGGGAATCCTACAGCCACACAAACTCCACGCACGCAGCAACAGGAGGCTTGGGAATTATTTGCTGGATATGTCATAATTTGAGGAGTCCTTGGATTTTATTGTAACTTTTTTTGGCGAGAGCAAAGCCGAGAGACAAAAAAAGGAAAAAAGGCACAGACATAGAGCAGTACAGAAAACTCTCGCACGGACTGGAAAGAAGGCTACACACGTGGAGGGAAGCCGCATCTACACACGAGGGAGATTTTATTCTCTCTTTTATTTATCTTTTATTTTTATTAGTATGTTGGTTTAGTATTTTTATCCAGTTTTAGGGGATGTTTGACTCTAACTTTGATTTGTCTATGGATTGAAGGATTTTTATTTATCGTTAATTAATCTAGACGCCGTATTTATTTTTGTTGATGAGTTGATTCATGCTATCTGTGTTTAATGTTTATGAATTATGGTGTTTGATTTAGTTTGGCCAGCTAGGTTGAATATTCATAGTTTAATTGCTAGATTCGAGACTTTAATCCGTAATTATTATTGTCTCGTTTCGTTAGGAGTAAATTAGGGGTCGTGCATCTCTAGGGTAGCCTGAGCATAAGTTAAATGGTCCGAGCTTTTGCGTCCATTGCTTAGACTGATCCATTTTCCTAGAGATTAATGCTGCTAGTGAATTAAATCTAGAGAGCTTATTCTAGGTTGTCCACTTGTTAGGTTTAGTTGAAGAGCTTATTTCGATTAAATACCCGGTAAAGGAAAATTCGGTTAACAGAGCTTGTTGTTAGCTAGGGTTGGTAATTCATTAGTAGCTTAAAGAAAGCGTCAAAATTAACTAACAGTAGATTTAGATTGGGTGATAATTGAACCGAAAACTGGACTTCTCTTATTTTATTTGATTTTTATTTGATTATTTTTATTTTTATTTTTATAAAATCAATCCCCCCAACCTTATTGCTTTCATAGTTTAATTTAACTGATACAAAATTATCACAGTCTAGTTCCTGCTCCTTGTGGGATCGACCCTTACTCGCCACTATTACTAGTTAGTAGAGGTTAGTCGAGGAAAAGTTATAAATTTTAAATATGCCGCGTCGCGACGCACGGTCATAGTCAGTAATCTAGGACCCCAATGAGGTAGACTCATTAAACTCTTAGCCACTTTCAATATTAATGAAGCTCTACCGAGATGTGCATCCATTAGGTTGGGATCTCAATTAGTCACAGTCACTTTCAAATACGAGCGGCTGGTGAATCTATGCTTTTACTGCTGCAAAATAGGGCATATTGAAAACAACTGTAATCAAATGGGTGAAGGATATCAGTGCTAAGGTCAAAGAGGGCCAATTTGGTGAATGGTTGAGGGCGTTAGAAGATTTGCAATGTCAGAATTGGAATAACTCTAAATCTTCCTCAAAACATATCAGAGAACAAGAATTTCTCCATTCCACCAATAACGAAAAGGAGGCGGGCCAAGCTATAGTGGTGGGATGTTCTCCTGAACAGATTGGCAGCTCCAAGAATCAAAGGAAGTCATTGCAAGAAAAAGAATCTAGTTCATCCAGAACAGCTGTGGAGGTTTCATCTGGAAATCCTAAGAAGCATCTTGTGGTATTTACAGCAACACCTCCCACTCCTGTGCGAGCAGTTGAAGAATTAGGCAATGTTAAACAGATAAATATAGAGATTGAGCAAGAGGGTGGTTCAATTATGGGCAGTTCTCAAGGCATATGTATATTTCAACAGTCCCATCAGGAACAGATTCCAAGGCCCAAAACATGAAAAATGACATGTTCAAAGGAAGGCGGGCTATTAAGGAGTTCAACTGAAATTCAATCTGAAAAGACTCTAGTGACTGGTAAAAGACATAGGGATGGTAAAGGGACTGGTGGAGCTTCTACTTCAAACAACAATTTGAATCTTGAGAAACAAAGCAAAAAGCTAAAACAAAATGTTGAAAAGAAGACGAGAGCCTGCCTTAAAGATCCCTCACAGGACGCATGAATGCTTCGGTGTGGAACTATTGAGGTCTAGGTGGGTCCTCTACAGTTCCCCAGATTAAGGAATCCATCAGGATCCATCACCCATCTTTTATCTTTATTTCAGAAATTAAAAAATCATAAATTTATCCTAGAGGGTTTGTATCAAGTTGGGGTTTGAGAACATGCACTCTATTGTGGAACCTAGAGGGACTAAGGGGGGATGTTACTTGTTTGGCATTAGAAGGTAGAGGTTATTTAGATTCAGAGTCAACATTTCTTCATTGTTGTGAATTATAAGGATAAGTAGCTAGATTTATCCTGCTGGGCCATCCTTTTGTACCTCAGCCCTTATAAAGCAGAGAGAGAAGCACAATGGGAACTCCTTTTGCAGTAAAGAATGAAATGGGGTGCAGTGTGGTTCATAACTGGTGATTGGAACGACTTATGCAAATGGGAGGATAAAAAGGTGGGAAAACCAGATTTCAAAGTAGCTGTTGGGGCTTCAATAACTTTCTTGCACATATGAAAGTTCAGGAAATCCCTCATTAAGGTATCCTTGATAGAATGTTTGTTTCTCTATTAGTTCAGAAGTGCCTAAGATCATTATATGCTTATCATCCAATCTAAAGAAGTTGTGGTTCGACCTAAAAGAATATTTTAATTTGAAAACGTTGGCTTCTTAAGAAAGGGGTCAAGGAAGTGATCACAACAGCTTGGAATGAAACTTTAACAGTTACCCGATGGTCATCATCAAGGAAAAAATAAAACGAACAAGACAAGCCTTTCTCAAATGGAGTAGATATTTTAGATCAGAGCATGCCAATAAGTCAGCAACCTTACTTTGAAGCTGGAGGAGCTGTGGCAAGCAGGAGGAGACAGAAATTGGGAGACTTAGGACAAAATTCAAAAAGAGCTTGATGAAGCTAATCTTTCTGAGGAAAATTATTGGCAACAAAAAGCAAGAGCTCTCTAGTTCAAGGAGGGGGACAAGAATTCTAAATTTTTTCATGCCTATGCAGCCCAAAGAAGAAAGATGAACTCCATAGTGAGATTGGTGACAAAAGGGAACATGATAATTAGTGAATCCGTGGAAATCAAGCAGATAGTAGCTGATTACTATGAGAAACTATTTACTTCTAATAACTCTAGCAGGGGCCATGAGCTGCTGCCTTTGATCTCAAAATCAGTCACAGAGGACATGAAGTCTGCTCTCACAGCTCCAGTGGAGAATGAGGACATCAAGAAAGTTGTGTTTAGCATACATCCTGACAAGGCCCCTGGATAAGATGTCATGACTGGGCTATTTTTCCAACACTTTTGGCCTATTATTAGTGAAGAGGGCTTCAGGTCCATTGGTCCAGATCCAGTTAGCCTTAGGGGGAGTTTCTGGATCCTTTGTGTTGGGTTGTGGACCGGTTGCTTTCTTCTTGGTTGTTTGCTTTGAGTGTTGGCTTGTGTTGTGGCGGTTTAGGGTTATTTTTTGGCTTGTAGGGAGGGCCTTAGTCTAGTTATTAGGTAGTTTTTTGTGTTTTTGTGTGTATTCCGTGTTTTAGTGTGCTTTTTTGTGTTTTTATTCTCCTGTTGGGAGCCTTTATTCAATATTTGTATGTGTTGTGTTTATGTATGTGTTGTGAAATTTAGGTTACCATTGGTGTAGTAGCTGGTTCACTCGGTTAGTTAGTCGCTTGTGATTATAGTTGTACATTTTATTAATAAATTTTATCGTTCTAAATAAATAAAAAAAATACATGTTTTGTGATAGGTCGAAAAATGTGCACGTTTTATATATATAATAGTGTATTTTCACACACTTAATTTACTCGCATCTTTATATTTTTCGACTTATATATTATTTGGATGGATTCATATACATTGATATTTTTCTATTTATTTTCGAAAAATTTTGACCTGTGCTACATGATTTTTAGATAATTGTAATATTACAATCCATACCAATTAAATTGTGTATATAACTAAAAGATAAATATTAATTATAATCATGCCTAAAATCAGTTACAAGGTAAGTGGAACAACCTTCCATGTTCCTAGCGAGTAATTTCAAGAAATCGGGTAAAGAGTACGAAATTTCACGAAATCTTCATCGCATATATATATTGCTTGAACATATACTGCAAATATACTGTACATATACCATAATACAGAAAAAAATCTGGTTCATGTATGGAATGATCATGTCTCCAAAATAATATGAGCAGTTCTGATCGACATGTGCATCCCATAATTGTGTTTGGAGTGGGAAATCAGGTTTTCATGTAATAGAAGAACAAAAAAGAAAAAAATATAATAGATAGAGAGGTATATTTCTTGATCGGAATTATGTTTCTATGTTCATTTTTTTATTTTATATTTTTTTGTTCTATCTTTGATCATTCATTAAATGGATTTTTTTTAGTTTTAATTGGTATATGTATTGGTTTTTTTAATGGTATATATATAAATTTTTTTAATCATTTTTAATGGTATATATATCTTTTTTAAGGATATATATATCGTTTTTTTTTTTTTTTTAAACATTGCTTCTTTGAGAATATACCGAAAATATACTGAATATAAACCCTGACTTTAAATCTTTAACGGTAGAATATACCGAGAATATACTGATAATATACCGTCGAACGTCTTCCTATTAATGTCATGAGAAAATATACCGAAAAGATATTGATAATATACCGAAAATTTTTAACTATTACATACTATCGAACGTTTTCCTATTAATGTCATGAGAAAAAAAAAATGGAAAACAGTGAAACATGACTAAAAATATACTAAAAACATGACTAAAACAACAAAGTGTTCATTTGTCAATTTCGTTTTCAACAAAAAAAATCTTATAATATACCAAACATAACCTATGAATAAACATTCAAAACAGAAAAAATAAATATCCATTCAAAAACTAATTTGTACATGTACAAATATACAAAACATAAACTAGGATGTACAATAATTGTACATATCCCTAAGATATACATATAATGTTCTATACTGTAAATATACTGATCATAAACTAATTAATTAAAAAAAATATATCAAAAAAAAATTAAAAAAAAATATTAGAAATGACAGCCACAACAAAAGAAGAAGGCGCAGAGCGTGGAGACCAACACGACGGCCTCGAAAGCCAAGACGATCTTGAAGAGTACCCCATCGACGAACCACAAGTGGAAATTGAACCGCTTCTTCCACCACATGTCGGCCGAGCTCTTCAATTTCCACGGCCTTGCGCCGCCAGGGCTCAGCCGCCGCCCTTCGCACTCAGCCTCTTGAAGAAAAAGGACGAAAAGCTCAACCCCGACAACTTTTTCTCCATATGATCGATCTGCTCTTCTCCCATTAGGCTCAAACTTTTTTTTTTCAATTTGTATTTTCGAATGCGTCGATCAAGGAGAGACAGTTATGCGTAGGGGTTTGGTCTTTTTGTACTATGAAGTGTGAAAGGCTGGTGAAAAAAGAGGTGAAGGGGAAATATGAAGAGAAACCTTTCGGCGGCAGAAGAAGATCCAAGTGGCTGACGAGCAGCCCTTTTCTTTTTAGTCCGATTGAAGCAGGCCTGAACGAGAGATGCAGAGACCAGATTTCCAGCGAGAAGAGAGAAAGGGATTAGAGGAGAGAAAACTAAAATCCCATCAAATCCTTTATTTACCATTTTTAAAAGATATACTTAACAAAACTAAAAGATGGTATATGTGTAAATAATTATGATAATTTTCATAGATTTGCAAATATTTATATATTAGATGTATATTTGTAATATAAAGAATAATGACTAGTATGGGATGTAAATTACTCTTTATTTTCAGCTGATTGGAGTATTCTGTTGGGGCGAAACATTGGACGAGAATTCTCATGAACTATTATTGGGTCAATTACGACTAAGCCCACAATTAGAGGAAGTTTAAGAAATAAAGTCCAATTAATTAAATTGACAATAGCACGTGAGGTGGCAAATAATCTTGAGAAATTGGTAGCCACCATACACAGAGTTGGGAACTTTGAGGAAACTCCACGGACCAGCAGGGGAATTATTTGCTGGGAGTCATATATTGGAAGGGATTTTATTGGCGAGAAGAAAAAAAGGCAACAAAGCGCGCAGACATAGAGCAGTACGAACGCACGGACTGAAGGAGAGAAAGCTACATACGCGGAGGGAAGCCGCATTCGCATAAAGGGGAGAATATTATTTTTTTCTCTTTTATCTTTTATTTATTTCATTATTAGTATGTTAGGCTAGACTTTTTATCCAGTTTTAGTGGATGTTTGAACCCTAACTTTAATTTGTCGATGAATTGAAGGATTTATTTTTATCGTTGGTTAATTAAGACGCCGTATTTATTTTAATTTATAAGTTGATTCATACTATCTTTGTCGAATGTTTATGAATTATGAGTGCTTGATTTAGTTTGACCACCTAGGTTTAATATTCATAGTTTAGTTGCTAGATTCGTGGCTTTAATCCGTAATTGTAATTGTCATGTTTCATTATTAGTAAACTAGGGGTCGTGCATCTCTAGGGTAGCGTAAACATAAGTTAAAATGGTCCGAACTTTTGCGACTGTTGCTTAGACTAATCTATTTTCCTAAAAATTAATGCTGCTAGTGAATTAAATCTAGAGAGCTTATTCTAAGTTGTCCACTAGTTAGGTTTAGTCGAAGAGCTTATTTCGATTAGATATTATGTAAGGGGAAAATCGGTTAACAGAGCTAGTTGTTAGCTAGGGTTGATAATTCATTAACAATTTAAATAAAGCGTCGAAATTAATTAACGGTAGATTGAGATTGGGTGATAACTGAACTGAAAACTGGACTTCTCTCATTTTATTTGATTTTTATTTTATTTTATTATTTTTTTTTTTATTTTTATAAAACCAATCCCCCCACCTTTTATTGCTTTTTTAGTTTTAGCTCGATTAGTACGAGATTGTCACAATTTAATTCCTACTCCTCGTAGGATCGACCCTTACTCGCCGCTACTACTAGTTAGTAGAAGTTTGTTAAAGAAAAATTTATAAATTTAAATTTGCCGCGTTGCGACGCGCGGTCAAATTTTGACCTCTACTAACTAGTAGTAGCGGCGAGTAAGGGTCGATCCCACGAGGAGTAGGAATTAAATTGTAACAATTCTCGTATTAATTGAATTTAAACTAAGAAAACAATAAAAGGTGGGGGAATTGGTTTTATAAAAATAAAAATAAACATAAAAAAAAAAGAAAATAAAAATCAAATAAAATGAGAGATGTCCAGTTTTCAGTTCATTTATCACTCAATCTCAATCTACTGTTAATTAATTTCGACGCTTTCTTTAAATTGCTAATGAATTACCAACCCTAGCTAACAACAAGCTCTGTTAACCGAATTTTCCCTTACATAATATTTAATCGAAATAAGCTCTTCGACTAAACCTAACTAGTAGACAACCTAGAATAAGCTCTCTAGAGACCAGGTAGAGCTTGGGTCTAAAATAGACGTACGGGTAGACCGAGTCTCTTTTTCAGGTTGTCACATCAGCATAACTCAGTCTACTTTTGTTTGCATTGAGGAATTTTTTTTAGACTATGTCTATTCTTTAGGTGGCATATAATTTTGTGGGATGAAACAAAAGCATTGTGGATGTTGTTCTAAAAAGAATATCATCTTACGGGGTCAGAACTTTTATGCAAAGAATACCTACCAAAGCTTTGAAGGTGAATGGAGACCGAGTTACATGTGAAGACTATCAGTATTAGATCTAGTTGGTCTGGATCACATCACAAGGCCAAAATAATATAATTATTAATTTATGAAAAGAACCACATAATTGTAATTTTTCAGGGAAGATGATACATAGCCTAATTAAGTTCATGGGTTAGATAATTATCCCACCTCCATTATCCATTTTGTGCGAATATTTAAATTCCAAAAGAGAACCAAATAAGTCTCTAATTGGTGGAAAAAAAGAAATATTTACTAAATTTGCTACATGATTTTTTTTTGTATTTTGATCAATAAAGAAGGGGAAAAAAGAACATAAATAAAGAAAAGTAAAAGGGTGTGAAGATTCAGGGGATGATAAAGATGATTTGCTGATCAAGATTGAAAGCTCAAGAAAAAAAGTTTGCCCAAAGACATTGATCGATTCATCATATACATAGTTCCACTAGGCTATAAAAAGAAAGAAAAGTAATAACACAGATATTCCAAAAAAAAAAAAACAATGAAAGATAAAGGGAATAAAAGAGGTGCAAAAGGTGCAACAGGCTAAGAGCCTAAGACACAAGACTAGCCATT